CCCCCGCACACTTTGGCTTGTCCCAGCCCCAGGGAAATGCCCCTGAAGAGGCTGCCAACCCCATCCTGCCCTGCTCTGCCCCCAGCATCTCACTCCCTCACAAGATTTTTGATCCACCCCTCCACCAGGCAGCTGCTTTCCCGCTGCACCCCCACGTTACGTGCCCCATACCGGCATCTTCGTCTGGTCCCACTCCCGGCCACGTAGGATGAGGAGTTTGGAGGATTCCTGTTCACACCACGCTTTGCTGTCCTTCCAGGACTTCTTCTCCTTGGAGAGGAACAGGCACTTCCCACAGTGCAGCACCCAGGTCTCCGGGCAGCAGCCTGGGCACAGGCAGCCGCTCACACCCGCACCGCTGTCAGGGGCAGTGCCAGGGTGCTTCTGGGGCTGCTACCTGGATGTGGGCCCTTCCAGGAGCCATTGGCTCTACCCACAGCTCAGCCCTGGGGCAGATGCACTGGGTACCAGGCAGTGCCCAGGCCAAGGGGCAGTGTAACAGAGAGCCAGAAGGATTCTGATACTTGAGGAGAAACGAGTAGCAGGCGGAGCTGTCTACAACAAAAACAGCCACCCCGGGGAAGTGGCAGAAGCGAGAAGATCTATCACAGAGCTGGTGACTCTGTGATAATCCAGCGAGGAAGGACCCATTTGGGAAGCACGGGCCCTGCTGCAGCAGCACAGCCAGCCGCAGTAAGCTGCACGGGGGCTAGGCAGGAAGCATGCTCGCAAAATACCTGCGGCAGCTCGGGGAGCCAGGTGCCGAGAAGGGCTGAGACAGACCAGGAGTCCAGAGGCCTGAGAAGGGCGAGACAGCGGCCAGAGGCCCAGCACCCAGGAACAGTGGAAACAGACACAGGGACCCAGCAAGAGCCAAAACAGACTAAGTGCCCAAGGGGGGCCGAGACAGGGCCTGCGGCCCACAGCCCAAGAGGGTGCAGTCATAGTCAGATAGGGTGGGAATAGGGATGGAGCCCAGAAGCTGGGTCCAACACAGTGATTCTGTGTCCAGCAAGAGAGCAGGGGTGGAGGCCAAGTGACCGAGGTCCCAAGAAGGGAAACCAGTTGAACGGGCAACATCTGCGGTGCATGTGCGTGGTGTAAGGGGCGGTTGGAGCCCCGTAGTTCACCCTTAAGGCTTACAAGTGCCCTGGGCATGGACAGGCTGAGAGTGACCACTCAGCTTAAGGGCAGGATGGAGACCAGCGGTGTCCAGGAGGGGCTGGCTGGCTATTAGACAGACTGAGGCTGGCACTAGGACCCTTGCGCAGCCTCCCTTTCAACCCAGTAAGTACATCAGGGTGTAGAGGGTGAGAAGGAGGGAAAGGTACCCTGGAGGCAGAGTGGGGCACGGGTTATGGGGACACAGGCTATCACAGCCATCCCTGGGGTACATCTGGGTTACAGGCAGCAGGGGAGGGGGAGGACGGGAGGTCTGGGGTTACCAGGCCAGGACACTGGCGTGCCTTCTCCTCCCAGGGTGATACTCCCACCCTCTCCATATGGGGCCTAGGCCCAGCTCTGCCTGGGGGCTGTCCCACCCAAGCTGCCAGCCCTGGGGGTACCCCGCCCCCCATCCTGCCCTCCCCGGGGGTACCTGTGACTTGGCAGGACCTTGCAGTGGCCAGGGCTCTTGCAGTCTTGTTCAGCTGCTGCTGTAGGTCCCAGGCCAGCTTCTGCGCCTGCTCCAGGTCCGCCGTGGTCTCCCCCAGCTCCATCTGGCTGCGGTTTCCCTTCTCCCTCTCCCATGCCAGCTCTGCTTGGGTCTGTGCCAGCCTCTCCTGGGCCTGCCCCAGCTGCTGCTCCTGGGCATCCGCCTGCTGCCACAGGCCATCGCGCTCGGCCGCATGGGCATGGGATGCCTGCTGCAGGCGCTGCCTCTCCTGCCAGTCTGTGGGGACAGGGCTATCAGCACAAGGGCCATGGCCTGGCACCCTGGGTTGGGAGATGCAGCCAAGGCAGGGGTAGGACCCCCCTGTTCACACCTCCATCCAACCACGCAGGGCCCCTGGGACACTGCAGATGGCAGGAGCCTCCCAAGGCAGTGCCAGGGCACAGGCATGGGCTGGCAGGAGATGGGCACGTGCCTGCAGCAGGCAGGGCACCTTGCTCTGCCCCCTCTCGGGGTGCTGGCCCCAGTGCTGGGTTTCTCCAGAGGACCCCCCAGGTGCAAGTCACCCCTAGAGACATCTCCAGAGTCGCTAAAGATCCTCCTTGCCTCGGGGACCCACCCCCCTCCACCTGCTGCCCTGTCCCTGCAGGTAGTTCATGCCCCTGCACCAAGGCCCAGGCACTTCCGTGTCCCCCACACTGCCACCACCCCTGCCCACCCCCCACTGCCCCATGCTCTCTGCCAGGCCAACTCACAGCAGACCCCCAGGGCGATGGTGGTGGCCAGCAGGGCCAGACAGGCTGCCAGCAGAGCCAGGGGCAGGGGCCACGCGCTCCACCGGGGCTCTGCAAGAGACAAGGGGCCGTGGGACCAGCTCCAGCACCCGCAGCACCCACAGCACCGCCAGGGTCCTGCTGCTGGGAGGGCAGGAAGGATGCTGTGACCAGGGCCAGACTAACCCTTTAGTGGGCCCTAGACAGACAGACTCATGGGCCCCAGGCCGGCTGGGATCCCCCTCCCCACCCCAGCACTACCACCTGCGGGGAGCGGGGCTCGAAGCCGCTCCTAGGAAACAGCTGCTGCCCCAGCGACGCCAGCGAAGGGGAGGTGAAGGGAAGGGAAAGAAGGCAGATCAGGCCATTTGTGCCAGCGGCGTGGAGGGAAGGACCGGGGGCCCCACTTCTCAGGGCCCTAGGCATTGCCTATGCATTAATCCAGCCCTGGTTGTGACCGTGCACTGGGGAGTTCCCAGGTCGAGGCCGTGGCCCCACTGCAGAGGAAGGCAAACACCCCCCACCCCATCCAGTACCAATGTGACCAAGGGGGAAATTCCTTTCTGCCCCCAGTACGGTGTCAGCCTGACCCAGAGCACACGGGCAAGACCTCTAGCCTAGACCATCCTGGGTTACCCCAGCAGGAGCACTGGCACAGCCCAGTCCCCATCCCCACCCAGCCTGGGATGCACCCAACTCCTAGCTGCTGAGGAAGGACCCCCACCCCAATATCTGTAGCAACAGGAATGGGGGGGGGGGGATTCCTTCCCAGCCCCATGGGGTCACCAGCAAAGCCCTGGAGCCTGGGACAGCCACACATCCCCAGCTCTGCCCTGCAGCCTGGGCACAGCAAGCAGAGTCCACTGATCAGCCCTCTCCCTAAACAGTCAGAGCTGCTCGTCCATGCCCTGCAATGAACTTCTCCAAGCACCTTGGATCTTCTCACGTACCCCAGCCAGCTGTGAGCTCTGCTTCAGGCTCCTGCTGCCTCGCACTCACCTCTGCGCTGCTGGGCCCCATGCCCGGCCGGCCCCTCGCCCACTGCGCCCAGATGCAGGTTCTCGTAGGCGCTGTCAACCTCGTGCATGGCTGCGGGGGGGTGCAGACACACGGCTGGTCAGGGTGTGGGGCGAGGGCATGACCAGGTGAGGAAAGGGTGCTGACACCTACCTGCCCCCTGCACCTGGGGGGTCGCACCATGTCCCAGGGCGGGCTTGGAGAACAGCAGGTCGGCGTATGTCACATTCTCACCCATCATGGCATCGAGGCCCAGAGCAGCTCATCCCGGCACACAGGAAATGCTGCAGTATCAGCAAAAAGCAGAAGTTTCCTCCACCCCAGATGCATGCAGTGAAGCACGGCTCCGACCCTGTCATTGGCTCCGGCAGCCACAGCCCTGCTCTCCCCCGGCTCAGACATGGCAAGTCAGGGCGCCGGGGCTGGGGTGTGCTGAATGAAGAGGTGGTGGAGCCGGGCCTCATCCTGGAGCAGTTCCAGCCCCAAATGCCTTGTAGTGGGTTTGGGAATTGCTCTGCTCAAACAGTCCTAGTTTCATAGTTGGTAGGGTCGGAAGAGACCTGAGCAGATCGTCAAGTCCGACCCCCAGACTTTCACTATAAGTCCTTTCACTCTAGGGAGTTATCTATTTCCCAGGCCCAATGGCCTCTCAGGACTCAGCAGAAACCCCACATCTCACCCAAACATGAACCTAGTCCACACGTGGCTCGCCAGATAGGAACATGAAGAATTAGCATCAGTCACAATGACCAGCTGTAACTTGGTGAAAAATCCCTGGTTTTGGTGGAATAACCAAATTTGGAGACTGGGAATGACCAAATGAAGACACTGGCAAATGACCAAATTAAGATGTGTGAATGTGACATGTTTAAAGAAACAAGGCATTACGCTGACAGGTCAGAACATGAACAGCCTGATGGTCACAGAAAAACTAATGTACAGTACCCGAAAATGAAAAGTCACCAGGAGAAAGAGAATACAAAAGGAGGAATCCCCGGGTGACAATTTGGTGCATTTACCCCCAATCTCCAAAGTGACTGATGTCCTGGTTGGAGCACGAAGCATACGGTGGTGTCCATGTACCGCCAGACACACCATCTCCTTGTGAAACCCTAGGACCGGTAAATAAATAGGACTGTGTAGTCATTTGGCTTGCTTTGCTTACGCTTCTCTTATTTACTATAACTGTCTATCAATACAATTTGCCTGTTATCAAATGGAAGGGCTCATGGTCAGTCATTGAGAAAGGTTGTGCGCGCCTGGAACAAGTCATCAAGACAAGAGGAGACCTGGGGAATTATACACCCGTCGCCCTCACCTCGTACCCCAGGAAGTGACTGAGGCAGGCACTAGGGAAGGCCTGTTGCAAGCGTGTGGAGAAGGAAAGGCTGTCCCAAGCAGCCAGTGTGAGTTTACTATGCACAGATTATGCCACCAAGTGTGGTCTCCTGCTATGACAGAGTAACTGCAAGGATGGACAAAGGGCCTGCTGCGGGTGTCATGTGTTTGCACTTCAGCAAGGCTTTGGACAAGGTCCTGCAAGACCTGCTCATACAACCAGAGGGAGATGCATGGGCTGCACAGAGCTCTTATGTGGTGGGCAGACAGCTGGCTCCATCGCTGCCAGCAAAGGGGTCGGTAATTCTGACTGGGTCCACATCAGGACAGCAGGAGGCTTTGAGCAGAGCCCCACAGGGGTCTGTCCTGGGCCTGGGGTTGCTCATCGTGTCCATTGATGGTCTGGAGACCAGCACAGAAAGCTTCTGGAGCAAGTTGCAGACAAGAAGATGCTGGGAAGGGCTGTGAACGTGCCAGAGGGCACGAGTGCAGTGCAGATGGATCTTGGCAAATTGAGAAGCCGGACTGGACCGACAGGATGCAGGTCAGTGCGGACAAGTGCACGGTGCTGTCCTTGGGAGGAAGGATCACGGGCACAGGCACAGAGTGGGTGAGACGTGACTGGGGGCAGTGCTACGGAGAAGGACCTGGGCGTCTCAGGAGGTCCCAGACCCAAGAGGAGTCTGCAGGGTGCTGCAGCTGCAGGAAGAAGCCTGCATGGGTCTAGGCTGTGGGACGTGCAGGATGAAGGAAGGTGCCATAGGCGGGAGGTGGCTGGGCAAGGGCAGCCAGGCTGGGGCAGGGCTGGAGAGCAGGCAGTGCTGCGTGCAGGGAGCAGGGAGGGAAGTGCTCCAGGTGCGGCCATGCTGGAGCGGCGGGAGCTGGAAGGCAAGGGGCAGGGTGAGCTGGGGCTGCTGAGAGCCAGAGCACAGCCCCTCTCCCCTGGCTATGCTCCTGCGTGGGGGCACAGGGCTCCCGCTGCCAGGGGAGGAGAAGGGCATGTGAGTTCCTGGGCACCAAGGTGTAGTGAGGGTACCCAGTGTGGTCATGCATTCTCATACTCATGAAGCCTCCCGTCTTCATACTCCAGGGTCGGTCTCTGCAGCTCTGCGGGGGTGACCAGCCGGCTTCTCAAAGATCCAGTGGAGTTCATTGTTATGGAGTTCGTGCCCCTTTAATTGCTCCAAAAGGACCATAACTTTTAAAATTCCAACATCTGCAAAGACAGGGGCCATGTCAAGGCCCTCAGACCATCCCAGCCCCCACAAGGCCACACCTCTCTGGCTGCAGCCAGTCCCCAGGCCCCATTCTGGCCAGTCTGACCCTTGCAGCCCCCTGCCTGGGCCACAGCCCCCACCCCAGCCCAGCCCATGTGGCCAGCAGACTGCTGGAGGGCAGCCCCTTGCTCCCAGCCAGGCTGGGGCTGCCAGAGCCAAGCCCAGTCCATACAGGCAGCTCTGGGTACCAGCACAGCCTGGGATTCAAACTTCCCACATCCTCCCCTGCCCACACTGCACAGATCCTGTCCTCCCACCAAGCTCAACCCTGCCCTGATCCCCCTCCCCGCGTGAAATGCACAACAGGAGGTGATTGGGTTTCCTAGGCCAAGAAACTGGAGTGTGCATGGATGTGGTTGTGTGTGCCTTGTTTGGTACTATTTCAAGTGACGGGGCTCCTCTGGGGACCTTTTGCATATGTGAATAGGGAATAATTCCTGGAGGACACAGTATGCTGGCTCTGGCACATAAGCACATTCATAGGTGGATCGAGGATTGAAAAGGTGGGGCGGGGGTGCAGTGCATCACTACATCTAACACAACACAGATTTTTCTGTAGCTAAAAAGAAACAAGAAGCTTTACCAAAATGTCAAGGCCGGGGCTGTATTATTCAGAGTAAGAGTGCGGCCAAAACAAATAGCACGTCCTTGGAATGAGTCAAAAACAGTCTTCAGGGCTGTGAAATAGGAGCCACAGGCCTAGGAGCAGTCAGCAGATAGCAGCATGGCAGGACAAAGGACAGCTAGACTGATTGGACATCCAGACCATTAGAAAGGAGAGAGCTTTGTTAGCACTGGCAGAGTGAAGAGAGATTAGCAGGAATCATGAGGAAGACAAGGAGCCATGCAGTCAAGTGGGCTGGGGCACAGTGCTGGCACCCACCTGAGCATGAGGAACATGCATGTCATCGCCGTGAGGAAGCAGGACACGTGTTACATGACACAGAGCTGGTATTTTATCTGGTCCCTGTTATCTTCAGAATTGAGATGAGGCTGCCGCTGAGACAGCTCCAGCCCACGGGAAAGGCCCTTTGAACCCAAACATTGCTCTGTCGTCTCTCCCAGTCACGGACTTGATCCACAATGAGAGATCAACCCCAGCAAGCCCCTTCCTAGGCAGTGTCTGACGGGTCTGCGTGAGCTCGGGTCAGCGGGGCCTCAGGAACTGCACCGAAGGGCTGGACGGGGGGACCTTGGGGCCTTGGCAATGACAACGATGGAGTCAGGGCACGCAGGTGGGGCCCGGAGGACAGGAGAAGGGCGACGTAAGGTTCCTCTCTGGAAAAGACAAGAGGGCACATGGGGAATTATAGACCTGCTGCCATCACCTCAATTCCCAGGAAGTTACAGGGGGAGATGCTAATTGAAGGCCATTTGCAAGCATGTGGAAAAGGAAAGGCTGGTCCAGAGCAGCCAGTGTGGGTTTACTGTCAACAAATCGTGTCCAACAAGCTTGAACTCCTGCTACTACAAAGAAACAGCCGGATCCGTCTGTGCTGCGCTGCTGTGGGCACTTCAGCAAGGCTTTGGACAAGGTCCCCCACGACCTCCTCATAAACCAGCTGGAGATGCATGGGCTGCACACAGCTACTACATGGTAGACAGAGAGCTGGGTCCATTGCAGGCAGCAACGGGGTCAGTAATTCAGACTGGGTCCATGTCAGGACCGCCGGTGGCTTCAAGTGGAGCCCTGCAGGGGTCTGTCCTGGGCTTGGGGCTGCTCAACATGTCCATTCATGGTCTGGATGCCGGCACAGGAAACTTGTAAGGAAGTTACGGATGACACGACCCTGACAAGGGCCATGAACACGCTGGAGGGCGCGAGCACAGCGCAACACAGACGGATCTCGACAAACTGAGAAGCCGGGCTGGAGGTGACAGGATGCAGGTCAGTGCGGACAAGTGCACGGCACTGTCCTCAGGAGGAAGGGTCACGGACACAGGCAGAGTGGGTGAGACACGGCTGGGGGCAGTGCTACGGAGAAGGGCCCGGGCATCTCGGGAGGTCCCAGATTCAAGAGGAGTCTACAGTGCGTTGTAGCTGCGTGAAGAAGCCCGCGTGGGTCTAGGCTGTGGGACGGGCAGGATGAAGGTGCTGGAGGTGGAGGTGTCTGGGCAAGGGCAGCCAGGCTGGGGCAGGGCTGGAGAGCGGGCAGTGCTGCGTGCAGGGAGCGCGGAGGGAAGCGCGCCAGGTGCGGCCGTGCTGGAGTGGGGGGAGCTGGAAGGCAAGGGGCAGGGTGAGCTGGGGCTGCTGAGAGGCAGAGCGCAGCCCCTCTCCTCCGGCCACACTCCTGCGTGGGGGCACAGGGCTCCAGCTGCCAGGGGAGGAGAAGGGCACGGGAAGGTGACAGGATCCAGCGAGGGTGTCCAGCATAGGCACACGATCTTGTACTTACAGAGCCTCCGGTCTTCATACCCCAGAGTTGCTCTCTGTGGCTCCCCGTGGACGGCCAGCCTTCTTCTCACAGATCCAGGGGAGTTCATCCTTCATCCAGGCTAGTTCACTCATTATGCTGCCCCCTTTCATTGCTCCATAAGAAGCATAGGTTATAACTGTCCCACCACTGTAAAGACAGAGGCCATGTGCGGGCCCCCAGACCATCCCAGCCCCTGCAAGGCCCACCGCTCTGGCCGCAGCCAGTCCCCAGGCCCCATTCTGGCCAGCCTGACCCCTGCAGCCCCCGGCGGGGGCCACAGCCCCCACCCCTGACCACGCAGCAGGCAGGCAGCCCCTTGCTCCTGGCCGGGCTGCAGCGAGGCCGCCAGAGCCAAGACCAGTCCGTACGGGCAGCTCCTGGCACAGGCACAGCCCGGGATCAAATCTCCCCACATCCTCTCTTGCCCGCGCTGCACGGATCCTGTCCTCCCACCGAGCACAACCCCGACCACCACACAACAGGCGTGACAGGAGATGGATGAACAGGGCTCCCAGGACAAGGAACCAGAGTGCAACTCACTCTGAGTATTCAGTCCCATCAATCCAAGTGCACCGGCGCATCTTTTTCCAGTCTCTCCAGAGCCCGATCCAGTATAAGGCGTCTGTGGTGGTGAGGAAGCTCTGGGGCAGGGAGCGACTGCTCAGAAACAGCCCCAGGCCTGGTCCAGAGCCAGAGGAGAGGGGGCAGCTGGGGCCGTGGGACCTCCCCGTGGATGGGCAGCAGGAGGGGGACGGGGGAGGCAGGGTCATCTATGGCACCCGCCCCCCAGCTCCTGCACCTGCTTCCTGGCAGCTGCAGACATAAAGGGCAACCACATCTGTTGCATCTGCTTCCTGGCCCCAGTCTCTGGCAGGACCCCGGAGCAACCAACACCAGGGAAATGCCCGCCCTGCCCTGCCCTGCCCTGCCCTGCTTGGCCATCTCACTCCCAGGCTGGATTTCCAATCCCCACTTCCCGCTGCTCTGCCAGGCCCTGCTGCCCCATACCGGCATCTTCATCTTGTCCCAGTCCCAGAGGATGAGGAGCCAGGAGGATTCCTGTTCACACCACTTTTTGCTGTCCTTCCAGGTCTTCTTCTCCTTGGAGAGGAGCAGGCACTTCCCGCGGTGCAGCACCCAGGTCTCCGGGCAGCAGTCTGCGCACAGGCAGCTGCTCCGCTCTCAGGGCCGGTGCCAGGGCCACCGGCTGCCCCCAGGGATGTGGCCCCCCCCGGAGCCATCGGCTCTGCCCACAGCCCAGCCCTGGGGCAGACGCAGTGGGAGCCAGGCAGTGCCCAGGCCGCGGGGCAGCAGGGGAGGAGAAGGATGGGCAGTCCAGGGGAGCCAGGCCAGGACACCAGGGTTCCCTTCATTAGCAATACCCCTACCTGCACCCCCTGGCGCATGCCCAAACCACAAGCCCTGGTGGTGCCCCACTCCTGCCGTGCCCCGCTCTGGGGTACCTGTGACGTGGCAGGGCCTTGTGCTGGCCAGGGCTCTCATGGTCCCATTCAGCTGCTGCTGCAGGTCCTGGGCCTGCTCCTGCATGTGCTCCAGCACTGCCCTGCTCTCCTGCAGCTCCGTGTCCCAGCTACGCAACGCGGTCCCCCCCCTGCCGTGCCTGCACCAGCTCCGCTCGGGTCCGTGCCAGCTCCTCCTGCGCCTGCACCAGCGCCTCACCCGCCTGCCCCAGCCGCTGCTCCTGGGTGCCCACCTGCTGCCACAGCTCATCGTGCTTGGCCGCGTGGTCGTGGGATGCCTGCTGTAGCTTCTGCCCCTGCTGCCAGTCTGTGGAGACGGGGCTGTCACCACCGGGGCAGGACCTGGACCCCAGCTGAGCATCGCAGCCGTGGTAGAGTCAGGACCCTCTTGTGCTCGAACCTCCTCCCAATCCCAGGGCCACGGGGATGATGCAGGCGGCAGGAGCCTCCCGAGGCAGCACCAGGGCGCAGGCATGGGCTGGTGGGACATGGGCAGGTGCTTGCAGGCACCGAGGCTCTGGGGCCAGCTAGGCACCAGGGCACCAGCCATGGCCCCTCGACCCTGCCCGTCCCATGGGTACTGGCCCCAGTGCTGGGTCACCCCAGATAACCCCCCAGTGCAGGTCACCCCTGGGGACATCTCTAAAGTCACTATGGCTCCTCCCCACAGCTACCCAGCCCCCACCGAGGGCCA